TGGCAAAACAGATAAAAATCCCTGCACTTGTGCCCCTTATACTTCAGCCGTGGAAGGCAGAAAATAAAGTACTCCAGGTGAGCGGTCTGTTGTTCGAGGATTAGTGCAGCAGAGCGACACGGCAGGAGTAAGGCAGGGTACTAGGAGGGTAAAGGTGGGTGCAGTTTCCTACAGGCAAACCCAGAAAGCCTACAGAGAAAGTGGAGGTGGGGAGCATGCCATGTACACACAGACCAGGAGCTGGGCAGAGGCAGCAGCTGGCGCACAGACCAGGAGCCTACACCTGCCCGGTGCAACTAGCAACAGAGTGCAGGCCAGTGTGGCTGCAATATAGTGAGCCAGGGAGACAGAGTCCAGAGCCCAGAGGACTCAAGGCACTGCAAGGACTTGGGTTGCCAATCCCAGTGAGCATGGAGCCCTCAGGAGGACAGCGTGACCCCCGCCCGGGTCACCTTCACGGCATCTTGGTAACTGCTCTCCAGAGACAGCGACTGAGTGAAATGGACCAGCACCTAAGTAGACAGTGTGAGATGAGGAGCAGCCCAAGCAGACACTGGGCCTGCAGGAGGCAGTTAGTGTGTATGCGTGTCTGTGTGTGCATGGGTGTCTGTGTGTGCATGGGTGTCTGTGTGTGGACCCTGCCAGGCGGGGTGGAGGGGAGGGTTGGGAATGCGAAAGAGCACGCCGGCCCGTTAACACCCATTTGTCTTAGTCGTTATTGACCAGGCCCTGCTTCCCTCCCTGCCACCTCCACCCTGTCTGTGAACTTGGCTTTCTCCACGGAACACAGATTCTCCAGGGATGACTCTGTGCGGCACGTACGTGCTCCGTAGTCCCTGTGCCTATTTCCAGAGAGGCCGAGGCACAGGGAAGCTTTCCAAGGCAGAATGAGAAAGCGGCTCTGATACGAGACTCCTCCATGCGAGGAATACTAATGGGGGCTCTCAGGAGCCAGTCCAAGGCCGAGGACAGACGTCCTGCCCGAGTGTTCCCTGTGCAGGGTTGCAGCGGCCTCGGTGCAGGGTGGTGGTTCTGGCAGAGCCTCCTGTGATCAGGTGCACGGGCATCAGGCCCCCTCTTTCACACCCTCCCAGCTTCACTATTTTTTTCGGTTTGGGCCTGACCAGCGGCTCCAGGCCTGACAGCTCTCACGCCGCCTGCACCAGGGCATTGTGTGCCCACCTTGCGTGTCTGGGTCTGGGATCTAAAGCTCTGTTGCCACACTGAGCTTGGCCGCGTCCATTTCCCACCTGCGAGGAGGACCCTCGACGTCTCTAAGGCTTCGGCCCCTTCCTCACCGCCCCTCCCTTCTGACTTTCTGCCCTGTCAATCCTTGTTTGTTCTGTTCTGCACCCGCCAGGTGTCTCGCTAATTATCTAGTCTTCTGTTAAAGATGTTTGTATTTGAGCTATCATCGACATCGATCCTTTTACGTATATCTTAGGAGACGGTGAGAATACAAATGCTGAAGATAAGCTCATTTTAAATTCTGTTTCTTCCCTTACCTAGAATTAAAACACGGCAAGGCCACTTCTGTCAAATTTGAGTGATATAAAAGACCACTTAAAAAGAAAAAAAACATCATTTAAAACTTCTAAGGTGGTATGCAATTACTATTAAAAGGTAATACTTATGGGGCTGGCATCGCGGTGCAGCAGGTTAATCCGCCACCTGCATCGCCAGCATTCCATATCAGAGTGTCAGCTGCAGTCCGGGTTGCTCCCAGCTAATGCTCCTGGGAAGGCAGTGGGAGATGGCCCAAGTTCCTGGGCCCCTGCCGCCCACCTGGGAGACCCAGATGGCATCCCAGGCTCCTGGCTTGGGGCTGGCCCAGTCCTAACCATCGGGGCCATTTGAGGAGTGAATCAGCAGAAGAAAGATACCTCTCCCCACCCCCTTCTTCTTTCTGACACTCTGTCATATAAATAAATCTGCTTTTAAAAGGTATTTCTTAGGGTCAGGGCTTTGGCATAGTAGATTAAGCCTTGGCCGGGTGCTCTCCAAATGCTGCTCCTCAAATGGCCACAGCAGCTGGGGCTGAGGGCTCCCACGTGAGTACAGGGACCCAAGCCCTTGGGCCATCTTCTGCTTTCCTCTGTGCGTTAGCAGGGAGCTGGATCAGAAGTGGTGCAGCTGGGACTTGAACTGGCTCTCGTATGAGATGCCAGCATCACAGGCAGCAGCTTAACCCACTCCACCATAACGCCAGCCCCTACAGAGTGAACTTAGTGGGGAAGGTGCTTTCCTCTCACCGACACTAAGCCACAGCGCGGGAGCCAGCAGTGCCCTGTGCAGCAGGCACAGGCTCACCGGATCTGGGCCCACCTATGTCCCTGTGCCACTGGCCACCTCCATTCTCTGGCCGCCACCCCATGACGCTTGCCCTCAGACACTCAGACCCAGTTCCAGCGCTGTCACTTGTTGGCAAAGCAGCCCTTGGCTCCTGCCTGTCCCTGTTGCTGCCTCACTCATTTCAGGAAGCCAAAATAGGACCTCTTGCTGCCATCGGGATCCAAAGCACAGGATCTGACTTGAGGCTGAGCTGGCAGAGTGGGTGTGGTTACACTGCAGTCATTCCTGTGGCCAACATACACTCGCATCAGCTGCCTAGCGGATCATCAGAACAGCCACCCCCAACAAGCAGCCCCTCCAGGCAGCCTTCAGCCTGCACGTCTGCAGCTCAGCGGGGATTCGGCTCAGGACCGTCTTCAACCCAGCTTTGCTTCTCTCCTGTGTCGACATACCCATGGCAACTCACTGCTACATCTTCCCCCAAAATATCCACCTCAGGATTTGCACGTGCTTTCCTGGACTGCTGTCAGGCAGGGCCGTCACTTCTTTATATCTCTGACGACATTCTGTTTACTTGGTTTTGGTACTACTTCAGCAAACATCTATGAGTGACTTTCTCCTAGTATGAAATGCTAGATAATTCCAAGACTAAGGCTATGTTCCAGCATTTTACATAACCATGAAATTTCACAAGTGGTGCTAATCCAGTGCCTCAGACAGGGTTCTGCAGAGAAACGGAACCTCAAAATATGAAACAGCAGAATCAAAAGGTGGTTTATTTTTGTGTAAAACAACATGAAGCCCTGCGGGTTTGTCCTAACACACATTTCCCGTGAGCTTTCTGAGGCACCCGCAAGTGTAGATGTGTCCAGCACACATCTGTGGTTCACACAGACACGGGAGTGAGACTCCATCAGAGCCTGGGGCCCGAGGACCAGCAGGTGTTGGGGGGCGGGGTTTAGTCTGGGAGTCAGAAGGCCCAAGAACCGGGAGTACTGGTGCGAGAGGGCGGGAGGAGACGGGTGGCTCCACTCCGAAGTCGGAGAACGTGCCCTCCTCTGCCTTCTGTTCCACTCAGGCCCTTATGCCCCGGGGGATGGGGGATGGGGGATGCAAGCCCACACAGGTGAGGATGCCAACACTAATCTCTTCCGGAAACACCTCCCAGACACATCGCTTTCCCAGCCATCTGGGCATCCCTGAGCCCAACAGGTTGACACCTGCGTTCTCTCTGAACTTCCCTGTGTGTGTTCACTTAGCCTCTGTGTGGAGACCGCAGGTCCCAGCCTGCAGGCACTGTCTCTCCTCCGCCTGTGGGTTCAGATGCTTTCTTCTGGCCCGGCGCCTAGACCTCAGCTGTCTTGCAGAGGCTGGCACCTTCCCCCGCAGGAAGACGAGTGCAGCGTTCCTTAGCCTGCCCTGTGCAGACAGAGCTCCTCAGCCCTCACCATCCTCACCGCACAGTGCTGAGTCATGTGAGGAATGACTCAGCAATCCCTGTGTTGGTTCCTGTCCAGTCCTATTTCCTTAGCAGAAACAGCAGCAGATCCCTAATCCCAAGATCTTATCTCAGAGAAACAGGTTTTTGTATCAATTTTGCTTTCAGAGTTAGTATTATAAATGACTACAGCCTAGTACTATGGAATAATTCTGTTGACAGGGAAGGAACACAGTTGAAGTGATACTAATCATGCAGAAATCTATAAGTTACGAGAGGCATGTATGTGTGTGTAATATATATGCACAAGTGGTTTTCAAAAAGTTCACGAAAATGTGTATTATGAAAGTGTATATAATGAAAGATTGGGCATGATTCCAAAGTAGTTTCACAGCAGAATAAACTTCCCTTTTTGTCCTACTTTTCTGTGAACCTTTTGAAATGCTGACACGTATCCAGTCTGGTGCTGCACGGCCATACTTCAATCCGTGATGGACGTGGTCCATGAGACTGCATTGCCTAGTGATGTCACACACAACCACGTTTGCACCGCGACAGAGTTCCCCAGTTCCCCAGTGAAGCGTTTCTCAGGTGTCCCCATCGCTAAGTGATGCGGGACCGTAATTCATTTTCTTATTCTTTAACTGATGAAAGATGCAAAGCTTTGGGGGAGGGCGGGGCTTCATTGATTGGGTAGAACTGGAGAGTGAGGACCATTAACACCACTGCACCTGCACCCAGGTCCTCCCACAGAACCCTTTCCAAACTCAAGTGCAGAATCCTGTGGGGCTTGACAAAGCCTCAGGGGAGAAATGAGGCCAAGTCCCCAGCCTACGCCGAATCCTGTGGAGACGGGCCCAGCTGCCCTGTCTCCATCCTTAAGCCTGGAGGCATGGAGGGTGAGGATCCAGGACAGGAAAGAGAGAAGTGAGAGCCCGCAGTCCCTGACTCTTCCCCCGAATCCTAGCTGTGCGTTAGGGGCAAGGGACATGTTCCTAAACACCAGAAAAGGGCTGATGCCCTAAGGCCCTCAAACGCCAGGATAGGACAGAGAGAAAACAAGACCAGGTCAGAGCCAGAGTGGAGCAGTGGCGGCCATGGCTCCTCTGCAGGCATGGCCTTTTTGTGGTTGGCCAGGCGTGTGTCTTTCAGATACGCACCGGCGGCCCCACTGCTGTCAACACCAGTGGTTGGCAGTCATAGCTGTGTGTAAGAGCATCTTACTGCCCAGAATGACAATGACGTTTCTGTTGATTCTTCTCCCTAACAGCTGGCTGCCCCAACTCCCTGATTACAGAGCTGCATCACTTCAGGATTCTCGGAGAAGAGCAGGTGAGTTTGTGTCCCAAAGGGTGCATCAAAGTGTCACGCAAGACAGACACTGATGAGACAGCCTTGCAGTCTCCAGGGAGGCCCGCGTACCTCCTGACCCTGACGTGGGGAAGACAGCCACACAGGAGACACGCGTGAGAACGCTGTTTTCCTCTCCTATCTATCAGACCTGACAGGTTATTAATTGGTGCATCTGCTACCTGCCAGTGTGTTTCATCCCAGGCCTTGAGCAGCAGGAGTGCAAAGCGACAGAGGAGCAAACAAGCGAAGGCAGAGGCGAACGCAGCCGCAGGGAGACGGAGCCCTGGGCGCTCCCAACCTGACAGCTGTGGGTGGGCATGCAGGCTCGTTCCGTGGGTTTCTGTACTGCCTGTGTGTGCAGCCCACATTGCATGACAGCCATCTTTTCTGTGGTTGTGAACACATGACTCGTATAGCCAACTTATCGTAGGCTGTTTAAATACCAAGTGGTACCCAGGGAGGCCCCGTCACTCTGCAAATAAACATGCCAAGTCAGTCATCCAAGGTGCTACATAGTACACATATACATATGGATGTATAACAAATGCATACATATACTCGAAACATTCATCTGTGTTTTAAAAAAATACATTTATTTATTTGAAAGGCAGAGTTACAGTGAGAAAGAAGGAGAGACAGAGGGATCTTCCATCCACTGCTTCACTTCCCAAATGGCCACAACAGCCAGGGTTGGGCCAGGTTGAAGCCAGGAGTGAGGAGCTTCATCTGGGTCTCCCAAATGGGTGCAGGGTCCAAGCACTTGGGCCATCCTCTGCTGCTTTCCCAGGTATATCAGCAGGGAGCTGGGTTAGAAGTGGAGCAACCAGAAATGGACCCAGTACCCATATGGGTTACAGGTGCTGCAGATGGCGGCTTAACCCATTGCCCCACAGTGCGGCCACAGCAGTCATCATTTGATCCTCCTATGGACTTTCTGATTCTGGACCCAGGTATTAAGTGCAGGTGTCAAGTGGTCTTTAAAACACTTTGGTACATGGTTGGCGACGTGTTGGTTGGGCTGACTGATATTCCTGAGCTCGTCTGCCTGCTCCTGCCAGACAGCGTGCACTGAGCTGGGACGTGGTGCTGTGGAGCCTTCCCCTGATACCTCATGGTGTGGCTCAGGCATGCCAGGGAGGCTTGGCATTTGTGTGTGTTTGTTTTGTAGCTGTGCATGGCAAAGTGTGGCTGCCTCTTTCTGACAAGACAGCGAAAGCAGAAAGGGGCAAATTCGGAGAGGCGAGGGAGCTGGAGTCCTTTCCATGGCCCAGAATTAGCGGGCTGCGGTGTGCCTCTTTCATCTTCTCGTACCGCAAGGTTCCAGAGTAGCAGTCGTAAGTGATGATTCAAATATACCAGCAAAATCGGTCATTCGGCACTGTAGGTAAGGGTTGATGGCAAACCCAACAGACAGCCCTCCTGCTGAAAACCCCTGTGTCTCAGAGCCTTCTCTGGCGAGAGTAAGAAACATCCTAACTCAACTCAAGAGTAACAAATGTTGTTCCCCCAACATTTTCTGTTGGGACATCGGAGCCGCCTCTTCTAACCTGTACCAATATTTGCAAATCCTGTCCGCGTTTGCTTTGGTGACTGTGTGATTGCTAGGGAAGGGAGCCAACTGTAATCACCTCCTTAGATCTGCATAAAAGTCAAGGTCTTGCATCCTACCAGAAATGCAATCACGCAGTAATCAAGATTGCTATTATCCTGATTAGCTATGGAAAGCCAGCATACCACAAAATTGTGTCCTGTTTCCTAGAAAACCACATCTCTTCCTCCGCGCCTTTTCTCCACCAGATAACGACTGATCACCTACTATGTGCTATGTCCCACTCTAGCCATAGCAAGAAGGCACTTCTGGGAGGAGCTGTGATTATCCAAGTCCTTTGCTCCTCGGGTTAGGGTAAGGATGAGAAGCGAGCAATACAAGTCGCTGGTGACCTTGACCCTGGAGTGGTGAGAGAGTGTGAGAGGGGAGAGGAGCAGTGGGAGACAGCAAACATAGGCCAAATGGAATTGTTTTTGAGGAATTTAGCAACTTAAGCTGTACATTTAGCAAAGAAATGAGGAAGCTTGGGGATGGGGTGTGAGCAGGAAATTTTTCTTTTTATAGGGAAGAAATGTAAAGTGTGTCTACCTTCTGATGGGAATGCTCCAGCAGAGCGATTGGGAGACAGATGATTCAGGAGGAAGATGGAGAATTCAGGAGCAAAAACCGTAACATGAGCCTGACCTTGGATGAGAGAGTGGGCAGTTCAGCCTAGTGGCAGGAGGGAAGGCAGCGTGTGCAGGCAGGGATGTGCAGGGGGAGGCAGCGTGTACAGACAGAGATGTGCAGGGGGAGGCAGCGTGTACAGACAGAGATGTGCAGGGGGAGGCAGCGTGTGCAGGCAGGGATGTGCAGGGGGAGGCAGTGTGTGCAGGCAGGGATGTGCAGGGGGAGGCAGTGTGTGCAGGCAGGGATGTGCAGGGGGAGGCAGCGTGTGCAGGCAGGGATGTGCAGGGGGAGGCAGTGTGTGCACGCAGGGATGTGCATGTGTAGGACCTAGGTGTGTCCTCCCAGAGACCTCTTCCGGCCTTTTCTCAGCTAAACATGAATCCGGGTCATTGGCTGAGTTGGAGACGGGTCAGGAGCTCTACAGACAGAATCATGAAATTGGGGTTTGAAAGGATGAGGTGTGAATAAACTTGGGCGATGGGTGACCCTGGAGTCAGAGTGGGCAGCCCGAGTTCTCTGTCACATGTCACTGTATGGTGACACACAGGTGCAGGGAAGGCAGGGAGTTGGAGCTGAGCGGCATTCAGGTTTAACAAGAATGAGAGTGAGGCAGAAGACCTGAGGGAGGGCCTGGGGGAGCTGTGACTGTGGACTGACCGTTGGTTCTCAGCCAGCAGAGGGTGGGGACTGAGGGAGCGACAGGGAGAGGTGACAGGAACAGTGGCCTGTGGATCCCTGTGGCTTCAGAGAATTTTAAGAGTTTGGGTACTAAGAGGGTTTAGTTGGGAAAAGAGGTAGGTCTAATCCAAAGAACACGATAATTGACACAAGTTTTCCAGGAGGTAAGTGAGTGGCACCACCAAGGTCCAGGGGAGGTCCAGGAATGTGGATGACTAAGTTCCAACCGAGGACAGGACGACTGCAGAGGCTGGGGGTTGTATCCTGAAGAGCAGAGAAATGGAGCCTGTGTGGATGTTGATCTCACCCAGAATTGTCCCCAGAGCAGACCTGGGCACAGGTTGAGTTGTGGTGAGTCAGACTAAAGACTTGAGGAGAGAGATGGAGAAGGCAGGTGTCCATAGCACACGCAAAAGGAGAAACAGAGCCCCGTGTAGCCGGTGGTTTGCAGTTGACAGCTGGGTGGTTTGCAAAGTAGAAAGGACACAGGTTCTCCTTGGGGCCTGCAGAGCGATGCATGGTGGCAGGAAAGGAGCAGTTAGGGAAGACACCAGGGAGCTGCGGAGGAGGCGGTGGCCCAGGTGCGAGCCGGCCTCCATGCAGGGAGAATGGGAGGAAAGCTGGAGAAAGCAGACAGCAGCTACCAGGCACGTGGTGCCGGCAGCTGTGAGTTCCCCAAGCTCCGGGAAAGGTCTCGGGTGTGGGGCAGCTGAAGGGCGGACGCGCTAGGAAAGGACTGTGCAGAGCTGCCACGGGTCTGGGCATCAGCCCCGGGGAGGCATGGGAGTCAGGAATTTCTCCCGCCACGTATATCAACAGAATGCGTCAGGCAGGGGTATCTGGGTCCCGCTGGTACCTGGCAGAAGAGGGTGTGGGGTTTTGGAGAAGCAACACAGATACTGGCCCCCCAGTCCTGCCAGGGGAGGGGGGTTCCCTGGTGAGCTCGCAGACTCTTGCTGGATGCAACGTAAGTCACTTGATGAAATAAAATGTTGACATTAATGTATGTTACGGGCATCCTTAGATCATTTTTGTCTCATAGATTGGCTTTTGTCTGGTAGAAAAGCAAACGTTTCACTCAACCATCTCCTAGGAATTTTGTAAATAAATAAGATTGCTAAGGAAGTTGCAAGGATTAAGTGCTGTCCCAAAACATTTCTGATTTTTAAATGCTGCTGACGCTCCATCAATATATTGTGGGAGTAGCAGCAAAGTAGATGACAGGGCAAGTGTCACACTCAGGCAATGCATTGAGAGACTCCACAGACAGACCAATGCCTGCAGTGACCGGGGGGAAGCTGGGAGCCAGGACTACAAACCATGACCCGACCTGAGTCGTCACCACTGCTTCCAGGGTCCGCATGAGCAGGAAGCTGGAATCAGAAGCCGAGAGCTGAACCCGACGCTCTGACGTGGGATGGCCGCACCCTAAAGGCGGCTGGACTGCCATGCTGAATGCCCACCACCCTTCGCATGTTAATTGGACCTCAATAAGCATCTTAACTTTTTTAAATACAGATTAAAAACCAGTCAGTACACATTATAAACCATTACCTTCTGAAATAAAATTAGATGCATTTGGGATTTAAAATGATGCATTTTTAAATTTGATTCGTATTACGATTCATGCTCCCAAAGCACCTTCGTTCCCCCGCCCCCAGCCATGTGGCAAATGTGTGGCCACCCTGTGGCTGTCACTGTGAAGCTCTGGATGAGCGTGATGGAGGAATGATACCACACGCCACCTCTCCAGCTCCCTCCGCGCTGGGTTCAATCAACAGCTCTGGAAGGCAGTCGCCTTCATTCGCCCAAGGAGCATGGACTACACATCTTTCCTGCACTATTACTGTGCTAATGTTGGATAAAATAGTATACAAGGAGGTCGAAAGTACAACCGTGATTAATTTTAAGATCGAAATGAACAGTGTGGTTGAGATTGAACCTTCTTTAGATAAAGAGCTAAGGAACCATGAAATTAAAGGTTGAGCGGACACCAGCTACTAAATGAGCAAGGTGAACAGGGCTGGGGCAGAAGGGTATCTGAAGCAGAACACGCACGTGTCCCACGGCCCCCAAGAATTGA